TATGCAGGTAGGAAGACATCATTTTATCCATAAAGTTGAATTTGTTTTTTTATCTTGATCACATAATAACATTCTGTTGGTTGTTTGAATTATTTTTGAAGTCTAAAAGTGCATTACTTACTTACTGGGAGATCTGCACACAACCAGATTTTCCTTTATTTGAATCTTCCCTTTTTCTATGATCTTAAATAACGAGATATCTCGGGTCTTATAGTACTATGAATCGGCAAGGAATAGCTATTACTTTTATTATCAAGTCCTTTATGTGTTAATAAGGAATAAGCTTTTGGATGATTGTGTGGCGTATCTTTAATTAAGAATATACCTATAAGAGTTTGAAATGTTTAAGTATGTTGTTGCACGCTATAGTTGGTACATAGTGAATTAGATGGATTAAGTCTATTGTAGCTTTACTTAATAACACTGTAGAAGTATCCATAGTATCCTCACTTTACTTCTTAGAAACTAGGTGTAAATACCAATTGTGTCTTCCTCAGAAACTATATGTGATATGATTGTTGTGCATGAGTAAAGGCTCCTATGCTACAGTAAATAGTTAGGATCCCTTCATAGCTTGAACTACTTTAAGACCTCGTTTGGTGTGATGGATAAAGAAAGTTTTGCTTAGGACGACGCTTTCTAACAAAGTGTTCATTTATTATTTAACATATCTTTGGTCGTGAAAGCTTAACCTTTCAGAAAGAGTGAACTTGAGAATACCCTCTTTTTTTAAAAAAAAATTAGAATGTATTCATTTAAGAATTTTTAATAAGAGTTAAAATAAAAATTTAGCAACTTAATGTATGCATATCTTTAGGTTCAAAAGTGCAGATTTTTAGTGCAAAAACTGTGTGTAGTTTGGAACAAAAAAAACGGTTTGAGAGGCAATATTTTGGGTTCCAAATGATGCATTTTAGCTCTAAAAGGGTGCAGGTTTTTTAAAAAAAAAACATCACGTTTTAGGGGCTTCAAAGTATAGCAAGTCATGTATTAAAATCACTACCTTGAAGACAAGAATACATATTTTTTAGAATTTATAAAACAAGAATGTAAGTTATTAGATAAGTCACAATAGTTATGCCTACTTTTACATCTTTTGACATTCACCCCTTTATGAAGAAATTATATTTTACTATTTATTACTATCTTTATTTTTGCAAATCACATATTGCTAAAATATTTTAATCTCTTGACATGCTGTTTTCAAGATTTTAGATATGTCAACAGCTTCAAAATACAAGGTACATACATATATATGTCATACACATTAAGATATGAATTTTATATTTTTCTCTACATAACCTATTATATTTATCTACTATCACTTTTACAAATGTTACTTATTTTTTTATAATTTATAATTATCTACACTTTAATATACACATTATTACATATTTGCACCTGATGACTATCTCATTTTATTTTATTTCACGTCTTAATTCTATATTTATAAATAAAACGACAAATTTTCATATCCTTTAAACTCAACGTTTATTTTGGATACATTTATATAAGACACATCTATACTTTTTAACATATAAAATTGTCATGCATTTTTAGTACATTTATTTATTTATTTTTTACTATATGATAAACATACTACCATTAGTTTATTTAATAGACATATATATGTCGTACCTTATATTTTACTCTTTTCTTAAAATAATAAAATTTACTTACCATTGATTTTAAAACAAATAAATAAACACGTTTGCCTAATTATATTTTCCTAATTTGAGTTTAAGGAATATCTTCGAATAAGCTTTGAGGGATACTTAATACCTTCCCCTCGGGTAACCAAAACTCTTACTCAGAATCTCACTGATTTCGCAGATTAAAATAGAGTTTACACTTACATATTTAAAAAATGGCTTTCCTAATATTTTCCCTTAAAATTTAGGTGGTGACTCTAACACAAAACATTTTTTTTCAAAAATTAGAGGTCAGTCATATTATGTTGTGAACTGTTTCAGCTAGTTCGAAATGGAGTGCGACAGGTTGGACTCGAATGAGCTTAAAAACGGGTTGGGTCTTTACCCGCCTAATTTGACTCGCTTAATTTCAATAATTTTAATATATTTTTATTTAAGTTTTATAATCATAATTTGAATTTCAACTCAAGAATTTTTTTTTAAAAAAGTTATAAATGGATAGATAAATCCTAAAATATATAAAATAGATAGTAATGCAAACTTTAAATATAGGAACATATAATATATCAATGCAAATAAAAAGTTTTAAAACAGATTGAAAACATAGATTAAACTGGACTGATTGGGCTAAACGGATTACCTATATTTGGGCTATTTTTTATACCCATGGGTATGACTTACCTAACAGAAAGTATGTCATGACCTAACTACTCTTCCATTATATGTTATGCATGCTGTTTTATTAATTTTTTATTTATTTTAGACTAGTTTTAAGAGTCGCCACTTAATTTTTAAGAAAAATCAAGAAACTACTTTTTCAAAAGATTAAAACAGAAATCTAATGACAATATTCAAAGGGGTTCGGGGTTCTTATTAGCATTTCGAGAAAGATTTGAAAACACTCGAAATGCCCGCTAATACGCGATTATTCGGCAATTAATTATTTGGCTAAAATAATTTAAATCAACTTGAATTGCAAAATTGAACTATTTTATAGTTAAGACCATTTTAAAAGGGTAAAAGGAAAAGTATTGAGATATTATCTAAGTTAAACACTTTGATAGATTATGTTTCAAAATTATAGGAAGTGAGTATTTAATTAGTTAACTTTTAAAAGATTAGTTCATAATGACTATCTGTCGGAAAATTGAATCGTGATAAACTTAAGATTAATAGCAGGCATTGACAAGTAAACAAACACAATAAAGAAAGGAGGGAAAGAGATTTGGGCCCAGGTTTGGTTTTTCTGTCCGCCTGGACCAATACTTGGGCCCATTTTCGTTTTAGACCTTTGGCCCATTTGAGTCACCTGAACCTGTCTTAGTCTAAAATACATAAGACATTTTCTTTTGGGCCTTAGGCTCAATGTCCCTTCATCTGTCATAAACTCTAACAAAATAATAATGAAAATGACAAGGGATTAGGCCCAAAGTAGCAAAATACAACTTGTAAAATAAGGAGTGGGCCTTTTAAACCCCCCCTTTTTTTTCCGTATACACCTAGTGTATAGAAATTCGTATCAGCTCTAATCCCTGTTCATCAATTTTTGAAGGACATGTTCTTCGATTTTAATGGCCAGCTGACTCGAACAAAGAATTGGGCCTCCGTGGCCCAATAAAAAAATGCAAGGATAGAGTCCATGAGGATTCGGGTGCATCATAAAGAAGGAAAAACAAAGGATTAATATGCGATCTAATAAAAAATGAATAATGAAAGGAGTATGCCGAATTATAAAAGAACGCATGTACTAACTTCAAGGAAATTAACAAGCATATGAGGAGATCGTAGAAATATGCTGGAAATTAGCGAATCTTACAAAAAATGACTTAAGGAAAACCATGACTATTTCACACAAGCACAATCAGTATGGTAGCTTGGTAGCACACTTATAAATGGGGATGAGAGGGGATCCAACCAGCATCAAATAGCATGATAATTGAATGCACACAAACAATAGGTACAAGTTATTAACTCCTAAGAAAAACAAATGCTAGCTTGACAACTTTTCAATCAAAGAAATGAGAATTCATAAAAAATAAAATAACAACATTAAAACGTACTGACAAGCTGAAAAATTATTAATGCCCACCTATGCATTTAACAGTAAGCAAATTAGGTGAGACCTGCATTCAACATGTGGATGCCGATAAAATTTAATAACAACACTATCTAATACAATGGTCTACGAGATCTTTTACTGCACATTACAAGAAAGTAAGTAAGCATGAGCTAGCTTCCTTGCTTTAAAATGAAAGTCACAAGGTGGTATAACTAAATCACTGGAAGTTGGAGAAATCAATATACCATACCCATGAAGGATTAATGCCAAAGAAATCATGCTTTAAATGATCTTAAAGACGAAACTCCAACAAAACTAAGACTTAGTAAATGAAAACAAGAAACTCGAGTTTTACCGACTCAACTTGTAATTATGGGCGTTTTCGACTGAAACTTAGACAAATATGAAGACATAATTTGATTAAAATATGCTTTGCCAAGCAGTAGGACAAACACAGAGTTGCAAAGAAAATGGAGAAAACGGAACTGCAGTTAATAAACAATATAGAAGACAACAATCAACAGTTTGAGGAATTATTCCTTGATTGAAGAAGAAAAATCTTATAACATCAACATTAAAGAAATGAAGGACCATTTTGACACCTTAAGACATCAAAGACAAGGAAATATAGATTCGAATATCCAAAACGAGCAACAAAAACGACGAAATAAGCTCGAAACAGAGGAATCCAACTACACTAAAATCTCTTAAAGAAGTCACACCATAACAAACCATCAAGAACTCATTAATAAATATTAGCAAACAAAACGAAAGCATGGCTACTGACATCACACTTGAACAGGAAAGATGATGAAAATATTACAAAAGGAGAAATCATTACCTTCTTTCGGGCAGCGAACTGGAATGAGGAACTCGAGCAGAGGAACGTGACTTCTACCACGAAACTCGGACACGAGTCAACGAACCAGAAATTAGGACAGAATCTTGAACTCGATCGAACGATGGCAAGCAAAAAGGGAGAAGGACACCCAAACCAAAACTAGTCGCCTCCCCTTTTTCTTGAGTGTATTTCGAGATACTTTATGGCTAGTTTTGCTGCATTTGCTTTCTCAATATTTTTTCTCAAAAATCCCCCCCCTAACAATGAGTAAAGAGGAGGTTTATATAGAATGAAATTAGGGTTTGCGATTTTTTGGGGGAAAAACGGATGAAATCCGGATAATACAAGGCCCATTCCAAAAATTCAAATGCCAAAAATCTTTCACCATTTTAGGAGAGACCTCTTTTCCTGAGGTTTCAAACCATTCCGGAAGAGGAAAGGTAGACGGATGGATGGATCGATCCCATTGTCCTTGGCGAGCAACGTGTCTCGATCTCACAGCCTCAAGGACGAACACGCGAACTGCTCCTGCTGTACGACAGGGACGTTGAGGAAGAAGACAAAGAGCGCAGTGTACTGCGTACTGTTGTACGCGTCCATCGCTGATTTCCGGTCTCCGTGCATTAACGCCGAAAGAGACGTCGCTGGGTTTCTTTCCGTTTGATCGCTGCTGTGTGTAGCGTTGAGGAAGTGAAAAACTTGGGTTTCTATTGCTTTGGAATGGGTCGGGTCGGGTTCTTCACTTGGGTCGACTGAAATTAGGTGGGCTGCAATGGGAATTGATAATGGGCTGGAGGAGTTGAATAGAAGCTGACCCAAAATTTTGGTTTTACAATTTAGTTGAGGAATCACTAAAATTGCAATTAAGAAAATGACCGTATGAATTTCAATCGTAGCCAATCGAAATTAATAGTCTAGCCAAATGAGTTTAGTTGGTGATTGGGCTAGAAAATAAATAGATAATATGAATTAATAGAAACTAATTAATGAGCTTCTTAATCCTAATGATATAAAATAATCAACTAGATTAAAAATACAAACTAATCATTTCAAAATTGTAATTATGATTTAAACTAAATTAATAAAGAACTTAGCTAAAAATGTAAAATCTGTTGACATGATTTTCATTTATAAAATAAACTAGTATATATAAAATTATATATAAAAAATATTGTTATTATTTAAAATGTAAAATCTTTTGACACGATTTTCATTTATAAAATATACTAGTATATATAAAATTATATATAAAAAATATTGTTATTATTTAAAATATTATGAAAAGTGACTAAAATTCTTAAAAGTAACTTGAAAAATATTTGAACTCTGTAAAGTTAATTATTTCAAATTGTTTGAAATTAAAGAAGCTTAAAAATTAATTTCTATCAGGGAGGGTCAAAAATTGGGTGTCACACATGCAAGCCATGACCTAACTACTCTTCCATCATATGTTATGCATGCAAGCCATGACCTATCTACTCTCATGTGCCTATATAAGACTAATAGTTTAGCATTCACTTTTATCAAATTAATTGACATAAAAATGAAAACCTACGCTTTGATATTTTTACTACTTATTAGTATTAATATTCATGTAAATAGCCAATATGATCATATGCAATACGTAGCATTCACTTTTATCAAATTAATTGACATAAAAATGAAAACCTATGCTTTGATATTTTTACTACTTATTAGTATTAATATTCATGTAAATAGTCAATATGATCACATGCAATTCGTATTGCAGTGGCCGGCTACATATTGCAGGATCCAAACTTGCAAAAGTGCTCCACTATTCGAATTTACGATACATGGTCTCTGGCCCTCGAAGCCTGATGGAAACACCTTGTATCGGACGCCTCCTCCCGGCATGCTAGAGAATGTGTTTATACATCAAGAGGACATGAAAGTATACGCCGTCGTAAGTTTTGTTTTTTTAAGCTCAGAATACAATTTTTTTCTTAATAATTCCCACAAATTACTAAACTTTTTCATGATGATATGATATGATATAGTAGAAAATACTCAATTTTTAAAACATATTTTTCTATTATTTATTACTCATATATAGAAGAGGCTAGGGAAGCAAATAACATATATTGGGCTGTTAGCACGGGTTTTAATATCTAGTATATTATATATATGGTGTAAATGATTTTATAATTGTTTTTTTTTTTGCAGATGCAAGTTGATCACTCATTGAGGGATAAACTCCGAACTATTTGGCCAAATTTGAAAGTTGGCCGTTCTGATGAGTGGTTATGGATGTACGAGCGGAGGCAACATGGCTATAGTATTGAGAGTGTACTCGACGTAACTGGTTACTTCAATGCAGCAAAAACGATAAATGAGCTGATGATTGATTATCTACTTACCTATTTAAAAGATGAAGAAATAAACCCATCAGAATCATATGAGATAAATAAGATAAAGATCGGCTATAACCCGTCTAGTAGTAGATTATACTAATGTACACATCTCATGTTATATAAATGCGACTAATCATCTACTGATTCGAGAGATAAGACTTTGTGTGAAGCGCAAATTCGACGACTTTATTAGTTGCCAAACCACTCAAAATAACGTTTGTTAAGGTCATACTGAAATCTTCCTTCCTGCCTCTTAGTTTTTATATTTTCATATATTCAAAATAAATAATAAAAAAATTATTATTATATGGTGTGTATTATATTTGACTGTCTCTCTTTATTATTTTTCTTTTCATGTTAAATTAATTTTACTGTCCTCAAGGAGCAACCCTCCATTGTTACTGTCCTCAAACTCAAACACTGAACTCCATTTAATTTTGACTTCGATTAATCAAACCTTTCAAACACAATCTCCAAATTACCCTATTTGAACAAGCTACAGATGAATGCTTCATCTTTTGGGTTCTATAGAGCAAAAATGCAATTTATAATTGGTGCAAAATTCTTGTTCTTTCTTAGTTGGATGGTAAGGTGATTTTGGTTTTATTTGATTTTCATGTCATGGTTGTAAATTGGAAGGGAGATTGCTCTTTCTTTTTTTAAATTTATACCACGTAGTTTGAATTTCGAGGATTAAATTTATATTACGTTCGAATAAACAATATTAAGGTTTTTGAAAAATAACTTATATATCTAAGAACTACGTAAAAGAATATATATAAATGTTATAACTAATAATTTAACATTTTTTAAAATATACGAATAAATTTGATCCAATTTTTTTTACTTTTAACTCTCGCAATTTGTACTAAATTATATAAGTTGAGATTGTGAGAGTATTATTCTTTTAATGAAGTTATTACTCGAGTTTTTTTATTTTTCAAAAAATCTTTAGTTATGGTAACCAACTTTTTAATTGAATAGTTTTACATTAAATGGGAAAAATAAATCCAAATTCGGTGTCATCTTTTAATCTAATATTTGGTGGTTGATATTTGTCTTAGCGTTCAATTAAATTTAGATTCATGTCGGAAAGTAATATGATAAAGTGTATCCTAACAAAGGTAAATCTTACCGGTTGAATATCAAGTAACAAAACAATACGATAATCGAGTTATAAATAATCAACACATTGAAACAAAAACCAAGGCACTATGAATCAACATATAGTAACAAAACAATACGATAATCGAGATACAACGAATTAAACAAATAATAACATAAATCAAATTAAAAGACAACAAACTACACAAGCAATACTACGACTACGACTACAACTAACAATTCAAACAATAAAAAGTTTTTTATTACCTCACTAGTATTCGTATCCGTGCGTTGCGCGGATATTTTTAATGTCCTCCCACAAAATTTTTGTTCAATTTCTCTGTACTTTTTATCGTTCCGTTTCTTCTTGATTTGTAAGAGCAACATATAAAACATATATTTCTCAATAACTAACACTTTGAAAACTCATACAATTACGACAAAGTGAAGAAGTTGTAACCATCTCCAAAACTATAAGTGTTAAACTTAAATTTTAAATCTTTATCTTGTAAAACTAATCCACCACTCTTAATTCAAAATTTAAATAATTCAATTTATTCTTACTAAAGAAAACAGACAATTACTAATCAAACAAATTATGAATAATAAATTCAAGCAATTGCTTAAATTTGTAATATTTTTTTAAAATTTCCTACAATTAAATGAACTTAAATAAAATAAAATAAAAACTATTTAAGCATTTTTTATCTAAAACAAAATGAGTAAAAACAAAAAGAATTTTTAAAAAAAAAAAGAAGGATAAAAGATCCTAGAAAGACTATCCCAATTTCCACGAAGTATACAATTTATTATATTTATTATTTTATTTTTGGACAATTGATTTTTTTAAACATAAAGATTAAAAGTAAATCTGTCATATAATCATAATTATTTATTTTGTGATTTTTTAAAATTTTAATTTAAGATAATTACTGATAAAATAAAAGGTTATCACCACATTTTTTCATTCATTATAACACTATGTAGTATTAGATCGATAATGGGAAGTTATGAAACTGCTTTACATGAAATTGTGTTTTTTTAATCAATGTATCATTTATATAATTATTATAAAATACTTTTAAAACTAATAATAATCAAAATTAGACTAAAATATATAATTACACATAAGCAAATCTATCTCAAACTGATTTGATTTTTTACGCATAATTTGTTTCTGTCAATATAGGTGCGCAAACTTCTTTGACGAAGTTCTCGCCCTATTTATAGATTTGGACTTGAATCCAAAACCTATCTCAACTCAGACTCCTGCTCGAAGTCGTCTACGTAGTATCCATAAATTCTTTTTCGACTTGAACATTATTTGACCTCTTCTCTTTTTGTAGTTTCCTTTCTCGACTTGGCTTTGACAACTACTTTGCTTATCTTCTTTCTTTACTTCCTACTTTGTCTTGTTTTCCTATTTGATTAAGAAAATTATCTTGTTTGCGAACTCTTCTCCTATGCAACTTAGATGAACATTGTATCACGTTGTCACAACCTGTTCTATGCACTTTGACATTCTTCAAAACACATTACTAATTTCCTCCTAACAAACTTCTTTTCTCAGACCAAGTATTGATGGGATCTACCACGACGACTGCAAATGTTGTTCGGACCTATAATAGTAACCCTTCTCTATTTTTACACGAATTCAACGATGCCATGATAAAGATGGGGAACTTGCTCCCATCTCGTGGCGTTTAGTTGGAAATTCACGATGTTTGTAGCAAGGTGAATGGTAATTCTATCGCGGACATGTGAAATAAGAAGAAAAAATTCCAATTTCATGTTCGAAAATAAACAAATGTATGGCTTATCGACCATGTAGTTTGTTGTTTTATGTAAGTTTTTTGGCTTTCTCTCTCTATATATATAGTATAAGTATATGTAGCCTTTTGTCTTTAATTTGGTTGTGCACAAATGTAATACAAAATAATGGAATTGTATCTTTCCATAGTGGGACTATCTTGAGATTAATTGGAATGGGGCACTCTCAAAATTTAATTTGCACAATAGCTATTTAATTTCTTTTTGATTTAATTTTTAGGGTTAGGTTAGAAAAAGTGGGAAAAAGTGGGGTATGATTGTGTGGTCATGGACCATTTTAACATTTATAGAAACTTGGGTATAAAATAGATGTTTATAAAAATACAACCAAGCCCTTTTTATATTTATTACTAGATAATGTTGCCCGTGCTATGCACGGGCCCAATAATATAAATGGTATATTTTGGGGTTAATAACCGAGTTTTTGAAGCGATTATTTGCGTGGATAAAGGAATAAGTTTTTTTATCACAAATCTGTACTTTCTTTGACGCTATTTAAGGCATAATAAGACTACCCACATACAACTTTTTTGAAATATTTTATGTTGTCAATTATCATGATTTATAGTATTTTTACGCAATTTTTAAATATAAAAAAAATAAGACAAATAAATTAAAATGGACCCAATATATGTTATTTTTGTTGTCTCAATTTATGTGACACAAATGAAATTTGGAGAGTCATCCAAATTTT